TTTCAAAAGGAGAGGGACCAAATACTCTTCCACCACTTACACAGTGACTCAACTAAGCCACATAAACAGAGAAGGGAGCTGGTCTGTGGTGGCCAACACCTTTAATCCCAGCACTGCGGAGGCAGAGGCAGGTGAGTCTCTGAGTTCAAGGCCTAGGACAGCCAGGACTACACAAAAAAAACCCTGTCTTGAAAACCAAAAACATAAAAAAAAAAAAAAAGGACAGAAAAATATGGACCAAAGTAACAAAGAAAAGCACCCTATTCATTTTCCTGCTCCTACCACACCTGGACCCTTGGAGAATTGCAATGGAACCACTCTGTAAAGATTTGGTTGGCCCAAGCTTGTGTGTGCAGTGATGTTGGGGGTGGGGGTGAGGGTGGGGGTGAGTGCCATGCACTGGGGACTGAACTCAGGGCCTTACACACACCAGTCACACTCTGCCACTGAGCTATATCCCTAGCCCTAACATTTCATATTTCTTAACTCCCTAGGCTAAATTTCCATTTGTTAATCTGTCAGAGATTAACAAACAGAAACAAGTTCTGCATGTAGGAAAGCAGATACCTAGACTGGGAGTGTCTACACTTCTAGAATGTTCAAGTGGCAGTAAGGATGTTGGCATTCACCTTTACAACAGGATGCTTACTCGTTTTCACCACATAACTTTTACCAAATGAAATCCTACAGTCACCATGCATTTACTACTGCTTCAACTGTAAACTTATTGAGGAATGGAAATTACAACTCAGTGCTTCTCCGCCCTTAGTCAGCTCTACTTGTCCAGAAACCTATCCTTTCCAGTTGTTTTTGCTTTATTGTATTCATTGTGTGCATGTGTGAGTGTGTGTCTATTGGCCTGACAGCACATGTGTGGAGCTCAAAGATCAAGTATCTTCCTCTATTGCTCTACACCTTTTCTTTTCTTTCTTTCTTTTTTTTTTTTTTTTTTTTTTTTTGGGGGGGGGGGCGGGTTGTTTGTTCTGAGACAGGATTTTTCTGTGTAACAGCCCAGGCTGGCCTCGAACTCACAGAGATCCGCCTGGCTCTGCCTCGCAAGTGCTAAAATTAAAGGCATGTGCCACCACCGCCCAGGCTCGTTTTACTTTTTAAAAGCAAATCCTGGATCAGTGAAATGATGTTAATCTCAAAAGATGGGAGGAGAAAGACCACCAACCCAAATCATCATGGCGGGGCGGTGGTGGCGCACGCCTTTAATCCCAGCACTCGGGAGGCAGAGGCAGGCGGATCTCTGTGAGTTCAAGGCCAGCCTGGGCTACCAAATGAGTTCCAGGAAAGGCGCAAAGCTACACAGAGAAACCCTGTCTCGAAAAACCAAAATAAATAAATAAATAAAAAATAAAGCAAGCCTTGTCATTCATGTACGTGGGCTGCTTCCCCCTGAGGTGGGATTCAAGAGGTCAACAATGCACCTGAGGAAGACAAAGCTTATAGCTCAGAGGTGGAAGGAACGTAACAGAAGCCTCACAAGTTAGTCCTAAGGACCTCCTGAAACAAAGACATGGTCGCAGAATAGAGGGTAGTCATATAATCCTTCTGAAAAAAAGGATTATAAACAACTGTTTGAAACAAAGACATGGCTGCCATTCTACAACAGGCGGTACAGAGCCATTTGTAGTTAAGGTCACAGGTGGGGCATAGCCCAGTCCTTGAGAAATACAGGTTTAATCATAAACAGAAATGAATCTCGTTTGTCTTTACTATAAGGTGGATTTTAAACCTAAAATGGAGCAGCAGGTTCTTCAATGGCACGGCAGGTAAAGCTGCTGGTCTTGAAGGCCTGGTCCCCTGAGTTTGTTCCCAGGAACCCTCATTAAGGTGGAAGGAGAGAACCGACTCTACAAAGTACATCTGTACCCCATCCCCAACAGCTTTAAATAAATGAATAAATAAATAAATAAGTAAGTGCTGGGTGGTGGTGGCACACTCATCTGAGTTTGAGACCAGCCTGGTCTACAGAGCAAGTTCCGGGACAGCCAGGGCTACACAGAGAAACCCTCAGAAAACAAATAAAAAAGGAAAACCAGCTAGTTGTGCTGGCATACACATTTAACTAAGCCCAGGAGAGGAAGCAGGCAGGTAGAGGCAGGCCAGCCAGGGTCTACCTACAAGCAGTGGTTCTCCACCTTCCTAATGCTGCAACCTTTTAATACAGTTCCTCATGTTGTGACCCCCCCCCAACCATAAAATTATTTTCATTGCTACTTCATAACTGTAATTTTGCCACTGTTAGGAATCGTAATGTAAATATCTATGTTTTCCAATGATCTGTGAAAGGGTCGTTCAACCCCCGGATTGAGAACCACTGATGTACAGAGTTCAAACCAGCTGAAACTGCACACTGAGACCCTGACTCAAAAGAATAAAACAAAGCTTGGAGTATCAGTGCTCAACTTTAATCTCCTTTAATCCCAGCACAGACAAGCAGCTCTCTGAGTTCCAGGAAAATCTAGTCTACATAGCAAGTTCCAAGCCAGCCAGCACTTCATGTCTTAAAATAATAACTTTTTAAGTAAAATGAATAAGAAAATTACTCTTTCAGTTCAGTGGACTTCATGTGGCAAATCACCATGAAGTATTTAGGCACCCATCTACACTTAAAACAGATACTAAGCCACACAACGTGCTCACACAAATATTTTGTGCACATTCATACTTTTAACACGACGATATATTAGTAAGAATTTCCTCTAGTCCTACTTTAGGGGTTCTTACTTCTTATGCTGTTTCTATGATGATTATGTGATTGTTAAAACTAGAAGAAAAAAAAACAGGCAAGAAGAAACTGGCCAGTGCCAATCAACTGAGGTTACATTGGATTGACACTCCATAATCACTAAGTAAAATCACTTAGGGGCCTTGCCTTACTTTTGACATTCTCACCTACGTTCAGGCCTGCAATACAATGGGCAAATTACTTTTGGTGGGCCATTAGTAAAAAGAAATCATTTTTAAAAAATCATTAAAACTCACTAGTAAAAAAACTTAATCTGAAAAAAAATCTCTAGAAAAAGGTAACTACTTCAAAAAGTGGATGCTAATGGATTAACTGAGTCACGGTGAAAAAAAAAATCTTGATCCAAAATGAAAATGTAAACCTACTAAATGGCAAGGAATCGTTCCCGTGAAAATAGTTCACTCTGTGTCAATTTCGCCTTCATTTGTAAAATGTAAACCTAGTAAAGTTACTAAATATACCAGATTGAGCAAATATTGTATGTTGCTTTGCCCCCAACGAATCCTGATTTTTATGTTTTCTCAATTCTGGAGTAACAAATAAGTACAGTTCATGAGCGCAGAAGGTCCTGGAGTGGCAACCGTGGAGTGGATGGGCACAAAAGAATACAATGTAATGCTGCACTTACACCCTCGGGCCCACAAAGACCCTGCGGCAGTGGCGCGAACAGGACAGACAGCGAGGTTAGTCACGAGCGACTTTGTTTTTAATGAAAAGTAGATACAACTGGCCTAAAGCACGAGACTGATGGGAGAGGTACAGGCAAGCTTTAACCCGTGTAAGGATTCAGGGCATGGGATTTAGCTGGATGAATCTCATCAATGACACCACAAAGCCACCTCTCTACCCACTAACTTAAGTGTACGTATATACTAGTTGGAAATGGGTTGAAGGCCAACTAATCCACCTAACACGGCTAAAAGAAATGGCACCCAATTTCAGCAGCCTTCGTGCGCCGGGAACGCACACCGCAGCTATTCCATTTTACCCGGGCCCTAAGTAACCTGGCTCCAGACTTTCCTTGTTTTAGCATTAGCTCAAGGAGAGCCCGGCCTCGCCAGCTCTGCAGGTCCTCGGCCTCCGCCCTACCCAGCCCGCCACCGCGTTTGCAGACCGACCCGCCGGGGCCTTCCCCACACCTTCGCGGGCGGGGCGGCAGGGAAACGCGGGCCGGGCACCCCGCA